TAATATGCTGTCTAGGTTTGTCATAGCTTTTCTTCCAAGGAACGAGTGTTTTTTGATTTTGTGACAGCAGTAACCATCTGCAGTGATTTCGGAGCTCAAGAAAATAAAGTCTGTCATTGTTTCCAGTGTTTTCCCATCTATTTGCCATGAAGTGATAGGACCATCTCTGGCTAGGAAATTCAAAATTACTAGTGGAAAAATTCAATTTCAAGTAAAATTAAAAGGAACCATGAGTAAAGAAAATGATAAAAATAAATTCCTTCAGTATACACCTCAGAGCACAGGGAGAGAGAACCCAAGACAGCAAATCATTGACTGCCTGCGGGTAAGGTGAGTTTTGCATAAGACAGAGTCTTTTGAAAGCAGTTGTTTTGTTTTGTTTGCTTCAATGCTGACTTCAGGAGAAAAGGGGGAAAGGAAGGAAACTTGCATTTTATGTGTCCATTACATACCATTCAGACCCTTTGTGTTTTCCTGGCTTCCCAAGTAGCTCAGTGGTAAAGAATCTGTTTGCCAATGCAGGAGACACAAGACAGATGAGTTCGATCCTGGGTCAGGAAGATCCCCTAGAGAAGGAAAGGCAACTCCAGTATTTCTTGCCTGGAAAGTCCCATGTACAGATGACCCTGGCAGGTTACTGGCCATGGGGTCACAAAGAATCAGACTTGACTGGTATGCACACACATAAAGTACATGTTGAACAAATATGTGAAGTGTGTAGTATTTTCCCCATTGTTGATAAAGACAATAGATGAAAGAAGATAAGAACAGGTGTAGCTGGTGTTAAATGGAGGGGTTCACACAGTCAGCCACACTGCTTCCTGAGTGAGGTGGGTTCAAGAGAAGAGTGGGATCAGCACACAGCAGCATGGTGTTTTTCAGAGTTTTGGGGTAGGCTACCTGCCTAAAGGATTTTCTTCTTCTGCTCCAGTGTCAGTTTCTGAAAACTCACCATAACGTTACTACCCTCTCTGTTTCCATCTTGATAATATGAGATATGATCATACAAAAACAGAAGAGCGAGTCCTGTATACAACAGAAGAGGAAAAGGTACAGAGTTGGGAGACAATGCAAACAACCTTTACTAGCTCCTGTCGAATGAGAGATTGGTTTTTGCCCTCAAAAATGACTTCATAAACTGTTTGCATCAATGAAATGCAAAAATGTTGATGTTCCCTAGAACAGTAAGTTACCATACATTAGATGGAGCCAAATTAAATGGTCAATGTCCAGCCATTTTTGGCCCCCCATGGCAATTTCATATGATTCTGCCTAATACTTAATGATTATTCCAAGTTAGGCACTACAATGCTCAGTATATTTTAATTTACTCAATCCTCACAACTTTTATACAGTGAAGGTAATAGTAACCTCATTATAAATAAGGCATTTTATGCTTTCTAGAGTCAGGCTAGAATTTTAGACTGTCAAACGAGACTAAGTGATAGAACATGGGGTAGGTTTGAAGAAAGAGCATTTGCCTTACAGTATATGGGAGAGCATGACAGAGATCCCAGGGAGTTGTGTGGGCTGCTCTCGTGATTCCATCAAATTGCTCATGCACATTCTCCAGTAACCTCTATGTCACTGAATTAAAGGACCACATTTTATTTGACCTTTCAGAAACATTCAATAGCCTATTCTTCTACAAAAACTCCATGTGTTTTCTTCTATGATATTGTCATATTTTATTGTTGTTGTGTGTTTTCTGTTTTTTTTTTTCTTTCCTGGTTGGCTGATCTGTTTTATATCTGCTCTGCAGCATCCTCATTTACTCTTCCATGAAATTTTTGAGTCTCTCAAAACTCTATCTTAGACATTCTTCCTTTATCACGCTATATTTTCTCCTGAAGCTGTCTTGTCAACACACTTGGTTTAAGTATATGCATAACCCCGAACATTTATATCTGGAACTCTGTCATTTTATCTTAATTCAAGTCTGTATATTTAAATGTCTACCTTACACCTCTACTTGGATATATTATAGGTTTCTAAAACACCAAATCCAACACTGGGCTTCCCCAGACAGTAAAGAATCTGCCTGCAATGCAGGATATCTGGATTTGATCCCTGGGTTGGGAAGATCCCCTGGAGAAAGACATGGCAACCCACTCCAGTATTCTTGTCTGGAAAATCCCATGGAGAGAGAAGCCTGGTGGGCCACAGTCCATGGGGTTGAAAAGCGTCAAACATGACTGATTGACTAACACATACATGCATAAGTCCAACACTGAATTTGATATCTATCTTTACAAGTCTGATTCCTCTTTGATATACTCCACCTTCATTAAGAGTAGCATTGTCTAGTCCATTAAGTCTTTTCAACTTAACTGCTTTTCACCTTTTTTTTTTTTATTGCTCATCATGGTTGTTACTGTTATCATAGAAGTATCCATCATGTCTAAGCTGATATAATACCCTTCTAACAGGACTCTGCATTTACTTTACCCTTCCTAACCTTTTCCGTAAATTGCAGAAAAAAAATAAATGTAAATATTATCACATCACTTTCCTCTTTCGAACTTTTCAGTACCTTTCTGCTGTTGTAAAGACACGCTCATTGTATACCACACTCCTGTTGTCTCTGTGTTGCTGTGCTAAGCTGGTGTGTCCAGCGTGTACATGCACGCTCAGTTGTCTCTGACTCTGTAACCCCATGTACTGTAGCCCACCGGCTCCTCTATCCATGGAATTCTCCATGCAAGAACACTGGAGTAGGTTGCCATTTCCTCCTCTGGGAATCTTCCCAAACCGGGATCAAACCTGTGCCCCTTGTGTTGCCTGCATTGGCAGGTAGATTCATTACCACTGGCACCAACTGGGAAGCTAAGCTGGTGGGGAATAGAAAGTAACTTTTGCAAAGGCCCAGTGGTAGAGTAAAAACCTTCTATATTCCTGAACCTGCCATTTTATATCCTACCAAAGGGCCTTTGCACAAATTGTCTTCTCTTCCTGGACCACTGTGCCCATCCCCATTGCTCTTGCCTAATTGGATCCTGTTTTATATTTAAAATCTCTGATCTCTGGACTCTGCGAATTTTCCACATTATATCTTTTGTCAGATTATATACCTCCTTGTTACAACATTTATTACAGTCAGCATTTTATACCACTGCCTTTATTTAGATAGAAATTAAAATTTATAAATGTAAAGTAATTTATCTTTTGTTACTCATATTACAGGTGGCTAAAATGAAAGTCAAGTGCAAAAATTACCAGACTCCCAATCCCTTGCTTCCTGCTCCTCCCTAGGCTGGTTCTTGTGTAGCACTCTGAACTGAAGACATTGAGAGTGCAGCACTGTAACTCCATCTGGTCTATAAATCCACTCACAGTCTTTGGAGTTTTAATTTCACTCTTGATTTAAACTCAGAATTGATTTTGTGCATTTCCCCAAGCTATATTTGACTAGATTCAAAAAATGAACAAAAACACCCTGTTGATTTTATGCAGAAATCACTCTTGTAGTGAACACAGTCATACCTCTTTTGTTTTAATAGGTACTATTAGCCACCATTTTCATAGTTCTTTTTATTGGCAGAAACAAGGTGGAGTAGATTATTATCTGTAAGTCATACTTATTCCATTAGAGTCACCAACTCAGAGCAATTTAGTGAAATGGAATTCTTTATAAGTTGGTAGATCTACTTACTTGTTCCCAAGTTCACTTGGAAGATTTAATGAGCTTACAAACGTGGGGGTGAAAAGGATGACATTCTTTAAGATAGTATATGTCCAAACAAGGTCTCAATGACATACTTTTTTTCTCTTTAATTTGAATCTTTCCAAATTTAAATGTCAACCAAGTCTTGCCAGGGCCACATAATTGCCTCTTTTCATTTATTAAAAAATGTGGATATTTTAATATTCTCTTAAGTCTCTTATGTTTGCTTTCTTTCTTTTTTTTGATACTCCTGTCTGAATAAAGACATTAAAGATGGAAATAAAGCCTAAGAGGGGAGAGAAGAGAGAATAGTTCTTGTAATACATTGTTTCCTAATAGACTACTGAGGGAACAACAGCAAAAAAAAAAAAAAAAAAAACTTTAAAATGTACAGTCATATCCAAAGAGAAGATACAGTGCATGATGAATGGATGGGTGGAAGGGAAAAAAGAAAGAAGGAAGGAGGGAAGGGGGAGAGAGGAATACTGAAAGGAAGAAGAAAGGAAAGGAGGAAAGATGAAAGAGAGAGAGGGAGGGAGAAAGAAGGAAGGAAGGTAAATAGACCATAGTCTCTGTGCCATGTAAAGAGATTAATGAAGACAGGAGGAGGGTAATTAACAGAAAGTTCTGAGACATATGGATGAAAGGTCTTGATGATGGAAGTACTGTTTCAGTAGACATGTTTCAGAAAGTGTGCTTAGAAGTATAAATGTTAATGTCCAAAAATTGAAATGATTTGTTTTTGAATTCTTATTTTTTGCATTAAGAAACTCTAAGATATAACCTTGGTAGTAGAGGTTGAGGTTATTTGCCAGATTATTGGTCTGAGGAGGTTGCAGGATGACTGAGTAAATATTCACATGTACATTGAAGTTCTTTTTCATTCATGATGTCAGTTGTGGTAGTGGGTGGATGAATGGGAGACTGACAATCAGGGACCAAATCACAAAACACAGTGTCATCAGTGTCACATAAATTGGAAGTCATCACTGGAATAGGAAGTTTCTGATAGCAGATTATTTGGGACCCCACCATCATATTTAAATTATGCTCCAAGTATGTCTTAAAGTCATGAAAATTCTTTTGAAAAGATTCATAATTGTGATATTCATACATGAGTTCTATTTAGCCATGCCAATACAAAAAAATAACAGCTGTCCTGTAGACCATTGCAAAGACACTGGGTTGTAGTAATGTCCTCATGTTTTCCTGTTGATGATAGGAACAAAAAAACTTGGCTTTGAAAGGCTCCTACCAGCTCAAAAATACAAGGATGGAGATTGTGTCTGCTGAGCCATGCTAACTTCCATTCTAATTCTCTTTTTTGAATTCACAGAGAGTGAAGAAGTTTATCAAAGGCAGGTGCTGTCAATTTCATGTATCATCTTTGGAATTGTCATCGTGGGCATGTTCTGTGCAGCGTTCTACTTCAAAAGCAAGTAAGACCATTTCTCTCAAGTGTTAAAAGGTTACTTCTCAGAGGAAGCACTTTGTCTTTCTTTAAGTTCTCAGTCTGAGCTCTAGGCAGAAGGATTTTGTGCAAATGGGCCCATCAGACATCCTTAAATGACTCTGAATCTTTTGTAGCCTGTGGTGAGTGTGTACAGCGTGTGCATCCATGTATGTGTGTGTTTCATCTTTGATGCACATAGTGATCATTCTTCTCTGTGATCATGAACACTCTGTATTCTTTGCATTTTTTGAATGCCTGCCAGAATTAAAGGCTCAACATCAGCCTGTCACTAAGTGGTTAACTCTTCTGAAAAGAGAGATCACTGCTATACATCTAACCTTTCATGGAAAAAAAAAAGCTCTATTCCTTTTATAGTGTTTTATTTGATACCCATAAATGTTTCAGCCAAATATGAAGTATGAAAACTATAAAATCTACCTTGGTTCACCAGTTAGTATGGACATCTAGAATATGCCCTATGCTTACCTTGCCAAGAAACCAAATCTTCTGCAAAAGCATTGTTTTTTTTTTTCTGGCTAGTAGAATTAAAAATATACATATGTATGTATAAGTATGTATGTATATATACATATATATGTTTACATATACATGTTACAGATAACATTGACAGAGGTACTTTATTTATGTAAATGACATAATCTGCCCTTAAGAAATGCAGATAAAAATATACTGCTTGTTTCTTGTAAGGTAGACAGACCTTGAGAAGTTGGCATAGATTCTGTTCCTACAGCTTGTCTGGAATCCAAGCCAACAAGTAATTGCTTTTCTTTGGACTTGTATTTTTCTACCCATTTGCCCTTCTAAAAATGGATCAGTTTCCAAATATAGTCTGTGATACCTGTCTGTATGTTGTGTATGTCGATCTTTAAAAAGAACAGCAATTTTAAGAAATAATGGAGACTCAGATATGAATCCAAAATTAGTAACTATTATTTTTAATAAACTATTTCAAAATAGATTTAGATTTTTGGAATTGCCATGAAAATAGTACAGATAGATCCAATATACCCCAGACATGATTTCCCCTATTTTTAATGTCTTTCATTAGTATGTTGCCTTTGTCACAATCAGTGGAACAATAGTGGAATAGTATTACTAACTAAAATTTGTATTTCCATATTTCCTTAGTTTTTACCTCATGTGCTTTTTTGTTATTGTTCCCCACCCAGGATACCACATTGTATTTCATTGTCGTGTCTCCTAAGCAACTCTTCACTGTAATCGTTGTTAGTGTTCAGTTTTGAACACTTTATCAAGGACACTGGGCTTTTCATTCATTATCTCCCAATCCTCACAACAACTGAAATTATGCATTATTGCTCAATATTTCAAATAACATCAGAATTTGATTTTAAAGTATTGATTTGTCAAAGTGCCACAGTAGGAAATTGACAACAGGTCTTTGCATTTCCACAATTCTACTTTAAATTCCATGCTCTTCACCACCAGCATGTTGACTCATGTAGTCCTCCCCCTAGATGGTGAAACTGCTTGAGGTGAATCAGGAATGTTATGCCTGTCTGCAGCCCATAGCTCTTTATGTTTGTAACAGGCTACATGGTTTTGTGGTCAGGATTTTACATGCATCAGCCTAAGTGATATTCACATCTTCAGTCTGCCACTTGCTTATTCAGCATTATTAGGGAAATTACATTCAGCCTTGATTTCCGTTTTGGTAAAATATAGCCAATATATGACCAAAAATAATGTCTACCTTAGAGAATTTAAGGTTAGTGGGATAATACTGTAAAGAGGGCAGCATAGAGTTTAAAAAGTAAATACTCACTGAAGGCTTGCTGTTAACACCTAGGGTGTCTATACATTGGAACTTACAGGCAGCGTATCTACAAGGTAAATAGAGTTCCCTGAGCATGCAAGGGTTAGTCACACTCAGCAGGGCATTAGGAGGGTCACCTCACAAGTGCTGTGTGGGAGAAAGCTGTGTATTTAACAATATGCAAATTACTATGAAGAAGTAGTTAATCACTTATTTTTGGAGTATAATCTGTAGTTGTACCACACTTAAAGAAAAGATGGATAATGACAGTCACAAGAACAGAGAACAGCTGGGTAACTAGAGAATTTCGATCTTCAGAGCTGTTAGCCTCTCCCGTGGGCTGCAAATGGGCTCAGTGATGAGCACATCCTCCTGGGGCTCAGCAAGGTGTCAGGGATTTTCATGGAAACACTGTTCAACTTTCAATGCATAATGGGAGACTCATAGGACTAAACCAATGGGAGACGAGTAATCAGGAGGTTGTTATCTTTCTGCCGGCTCAGCCAGGACACATTTTTATTAAGTATATACATATACATATATATATGTCTCAAAATAACAAAGGAATAATGAAATTTGAAGACTCTTCCAACTGGAGCCGTAGTTCTCATCAGAGACTTAGAGAATACTATCTTCTTCTTTGACAATTTTCAAGCATAGTTTTCCTTTATTTTTCTCTGTCTGAGAGGAAGGCCACATTGCACACCAAGCATCTAATTTATATAGCTGAAAGTGATGTAAATTTTTTTAGCACCTTGGCACAAGTTTCTTTGCCCTGATTTCTGGGATTCTAATTCCCTCCAAAAACCTTGGGGATAGCAGAATAAACAGGCTCTACTTTTTTTTTTTTTTACTTTCAAACATTATAAGATTTTTTTAATGTGTATACTTTTTTTTTTTTAACTCATTTTGGAAGTCCTAAGTCTTCTAGGATTCTGGGACATATCTATCATTGGTTTCCTAATAAATTCACTTGAATCTCCATCCTATATACTGGAATTTACTTTGCCCAGGGAGAATCAGGACTTAACCAAAACATTCTCTTGGTTATTTGTTCTACTTCCCATAGTTATTCGGGTCCCGCCATTCTGGTCCTTTCTCCATTCTCTTGTCAACTGTGATATGGCATGACCTCACCCAACAAACTATTACAGCACATTATTAGCCAATGAAAGTTTGAACATAGGTAACAAGAAGAGGTAGAAGTGAGGAACACCTTCTTGAATTCAGAGAATTTTCTGAGTTAATTGAACCCCAACCACTTTGAAGGTCACAGTAAAATAAATTCTTTTCTCATCAATTCCAAAAAGTTCACGTATTCCTATAAGTAGTTAATGGAACCATTAATTAAGCCTTCCAAATCTGGCTGATATGGCTCACATGGCAACTATAAATTCTTCTAGATTTCCCTTTTACTTTTAACTCGTATGGGCTAAGAATTGTAAGGCTGGCAGCGGGAGTCCTTATTAGACTTTGGAAATGCAAGACATAATTGAACTATAAAAATGAATTGAAATAGGAAAAGAGATACATGGGGGGGCACGGAATAGATGGGGGAAAAGTGGAAACAGTGATTTTGGAGGTGATTTTGGGCTCCAGATGGTAACTGCAGCCATGAAATTAAAAGACACTTGCTCCTCGGAAGGAAAGCTATGACAAACCTAGATAGCATATTAAAAAGCAGAGATACCATTTTGCCCACAAAGGCCCATATAGTCTAAGCTATGGTTTTTCCAGGAGTAATGGTGGCTGTGAGAGTTGAACCGAAAAAGGCTGAGCACCGAAGAATTGATGCTTTCAAACTGTGGTGCTGAAGAAGACTGTTAAGACTTCCTTGGATAGCAAAGGGATCAAACCATTCACTCCTAAAGGAAATCAGTCCTGAATATTCACTGGGAGGACTAATCCTGAAGCTGAAACTCCAGTAACTTTGCCCACCTGATGAGAAGAGCCAACTAATTGGAAAAGACCCTGATGCTGGGAAAGATGGAGGGCAGGAGGAGAAGGGGGCATCAGAGGATGAGATGGTTGGATGGCATCATTGGCTCAATGGACATGAGTCTGAGCAAACTCCAGGCAACAGTGAAGGACAGGGAAGCCTGGCGTGCTGCTGTCCATGGTGTCGCAGAGATCTGGACGTGACTTAGTGACTGAAGAGCAGCAGCAGGAACGATGTTCCAGGAGCAGGAACTGGGGCAGATAATTATCACAACTGAGAAAGCACAGGAGGGAAAAGGAGAACTGATGCTCTGAGTAGAAAACAGATGTGCTACAAATTGCCCTGACTGTATGTTATCATCCTCTGAAGAGATTTTAGATCACAGAGCAAGGCACTTAAGGACAGGCAATGGGTGTTCTGATGTGATGCTATGATTCTCTTCATCTGTGGTGGCCTTAGTCCCCACACAGTTATCTAGTACACAGTTATAAGAGTTCTTTGACCTGAGATAGCCGGCATCCGATGACAGGTCAGTGTGAAGCTTTGAAGGCCTAGACCACTGCCCCACCTTGGGGTGAAGGCCATGCCAGCTTCAGAGCCCACTGTGGGATTTGCTGAGGTTTTCACTGGAGACTGCATCACATTCCAACTCCTTCTGCCCCATCCTCCTTCCTTCGCTTAGTTTCCACAGGTGTTGATCTTAGGAGACCTCGCTAATAAAAACCCTGCACATGATCTCCATCTCAGTGTCTGCTTCTGCAGGGAGCCAACCTGCAACACTACAAACAACATCTCCTGATGGACTTGTGTCTGATATCCCACCACTGTACATCTCATTTCTTCCTGATGAATTGAGCCAGAGAAACTTAAAACTCACTGAACTCTAGAATCACACTAGATTGTTAGGCTAGTGGGTTCCAGTGTGCAATACTTGTATCTTGTCTTCAGAGCCACTGCTCTCCTGAGAGAGCTGACGGTCTTGCAGACAGATGCTTCTCCCTTCTCTTTGTTCCCATCTGCTGAGAGGAGAATGAAAGAGCAAAAATATGTGCCTTGAGAGAGCTGAGGGAAGATAGAAAAGGAGGCAGGTTCAGAAAGGAAAGCCCATATGTTCTGGAATATTTGTGAGTCAGGACAAAGGTAAGAGGGGAGTAAAGGAAAGCAAATTATTAAAGGATTATTAAATTATTAAAGCAAATTATTAAAAGGCTTTAGGAAATGCAATCAGACATTTTTATGAGGAAAATTCCTTTAGATGTTTACATTTCCCAAATGCTGAATTGGGGAATTACTGAAAAGATTGTTAGTATTTCTACAGCTAATTCTTGGAAAAATAATCATGTTCTTCCTCTGTGTCAAGCCCCTTTTACTACTTCCTGATGATTTATTCCAGGAGAACTTCCTCATCTCCCATCTGCTTCATCAGTGAGTCCCTGATAGGATTTTGTCTGTGCTTCTTAAAATGCTGATAGATTTGTTTCTAACAATAGGCTACAGATTAGCTGTTAGGAAGTAGATAGATTATTACAAGTGTATTAAAACAACTAAGAGTACTGGAGATAAAAGCCCCCCAAGTAATTGAAAGGATAAAAGAAATATTTAAACAGAATAATATCACACGAGTATTATAAATTCAGAGGAGATAATAATGCACAGACCTCCAAATCCTGTAGCAATTCTGTGACTTGCTTGTGTGAGAGGCAATTAACAAGATCGCTCCTTTTATCTCTGAGCCAGTGCCCTGATTCCTCAGCAGCATCTGCCCATATAGCTAAGCTTACTAAGTGATGAGGAGTGTAACTGATTAATACTCTCCACGTGTCCTCACGTTTAGTGCCCACAGTATTTATGCAAGAGAGCTTATCTAAACTCCATTGACAGAGGAGGAAACTGAGGCTCACAGAATTCTGGGGAATCAGTCATTTTGATTTAAGGAATCAAGGCAAAGCTGTTGGGACACAGAGCTGGAATTCAAATGCCAGTCCCTCTGGTACTCAAGCCCATGGTGCATAGAGGGATGTCCACCTCAAAAAACTCACTGCAAGAGATGGAGAGATGGTGAACAGTCACCGCCAAAGGCTCTAGCCTTGGCATGGACCCTGGGGGAAGAGGCAGAAGTCTAGGGGAAATGATTCTGTGAAGTTTTTTTGCTTGTTTGTTTCATGGGTACTGGGTCTTATGCTGATAGTTAATTGCTATAAAGTGCTTAGGAGAGCAGCTAATAAGGCAGTAATTTGTACAGTTCAAACAACAGTCACTCCACATTTGCAGGCAGGAGTAATTTACTTGGAATCCAAAACCTGAGAAGTCTCGGCCTTCCCACCAAGAAGCAGTGTGACCACGGGCAAGTGATTTGACAGTCATGAGTAGTGCCTCAAAATGAGGAGTATGCAGCCAGATTCATTAGGTTCTAATCCAGCTCTACCACTGACTGGCTGTTTGACTTTGGACAAATTATTTAACTTCTCTGTGCCTCAGTTTTCTCATCTATTAAATAATCATAGGATTAATGCCTTGTCATACAGAATTATTGTGAAGAAAAAGTGAGCTAAGACAGGTAAAACACTTCAAATGATGCTTGGCATCTTTCAAGAGTTAATTTTTATTACTTATAAATTAATCCTTCAAGAGTTAAATTTTTTATTATTATTTACAAAAGTTCTAATAAATTCTGCATTCAGGGCAGATGGTAAAAATAAATGAAGTGTTTTTAAACTATAAAAAATATAATAGATCCCTATTATGGCAGGTGTGCAAGTTATCCAGTCAAGCTATACCTATCTGAAATGGAGAGATATAAATGTAATTTTGCAAATATGTTATATGTGGCTGCCAGGTCCAAGCGTCAAAGTTGTCTACTTGTAACTTCAGAGCATTCCTAATTCTCTTTAGTTGAGCACTCAATGTTAAGGACCTCTTACATTCAGTAGGGTGAGGACAATGCATTACATTTCTGCCTTTGGAGTGCCATGGGGTGTGAATCCTGGCTATTAATGGGTAATGCGAAGTATTTCTTGGTGGGCTTGAAAATGAAGGGAGGACTGTCTTTGTCAACTGAGTTTATCTTGCTATAGAAAATGACAAGTGTAGATGTTAGGAGTGAATGAACCTCAAAAAAATAGGCATAAATTTATGTGACTATTTATACATGGATTTATTTAAACTTGCAGGAAACAAGCTAAACAAATTCAAGAGCAGCTGAAAGAGCCACATAATGGTAAAAACTACAGTCTCAAAACATCTAGCACAATGGCAAAGTCCGAAAACTTGGTGAAGAATCATGTCCAGCTGCAAAATGTAAGTGACATGTCCATTCATCCCTTCCCACAGCCCCTCTCACTGCTTCCAGTCCAGAGGGGATGCAGAACCTGTGATCAGACTTGCCTATTTTTTTTCAGTACTCTGTAGATTTTTCCTTAAATCATGTTGCATTTTTGTGTGTGCACATAGTACTGGATAAAAGAAAGAAAACTTAATTCTCAGCTCTTGATTACAATCTGTAACATAATTAATCTCTGGAAGCAAAAAGAGCTTCAGTTGTTTGTTCCATAATCACTTATTGAATTCTTCCTGTGTCAGAGATCCTGCTAGGTACCAGGGGTACAGTGTTCCTTACTGTATGGAAACTGACATAGTAAAAAATACAGACACCCAGAGGAGGCTTGTGGGATGAGCAGGTTGCTACTGCAACAGAGGTGGGAGAAGAGACCAAAGGGAAGTGGTGGGGGCAGAAGTGGAGGCAGCAAAAAATGCAGGCTTGAACTGGATTTTGAAGAATAGGGAAGGTTCATCAGGGAGTCAGAAAGCCAAGGAATAGAGACTAGAATAAGCAGAAAGAATGAACCTAGGGAATCCTAAGAATACCTACTATATTCAGACAACTCTGAATTAAAGGGTATGAGAAAATTCAAAACTCATAAACCTGGGAAGGAAGAGTTGTAGTCCCAGGGTTGGTGCTTCCTAACACACCTTAAATAGATACCAGAATTTGAAGTTAAATGCAAGCTCTTTGAATCCCGCCTTCTTTTTTTTTTTTTTGGCTGCTGTGGGCTTAATTGCAGCATACAGGATCTTCAGTTGAGACAACTCTTTAATTCCAGTGCAGCTTAGAGGATCTTTAGTTTCACCATGTGGGATCTAATTCCCTGAACAATGATCCAACTCAAGACATTTGCATTGGAAGCATGGAGTCTTAGCCACTGGACCACCAAAGAAGTCTCAAATTCTGTATTCTTTCTAAAGTAGTTTTTCATGATTTCTGAGATATATTGAAAAACACTAAAGATAAACAAATGTTACTGAACTCAGGTTCTGCTGCTCACTGTTTAAAACCTAGTACTCCAGAGACAAGTGTAACTCACAAGATTCTGTTCTGCTAGAGTTTTAAAGGGTTAATCGAATTGTTTGGGGAGCAGATTGGCGTTTGTAATCTTCCACTTTGCGCAGACTTTCTTCTGAATGTGCAGTGCTTAGTTGCTTCAGTCGTGTCCGATTCTTTATGATTCCATGGACTGTAGCCCACCAGGCTCCTCTGTCCATGGAATTCTCCAGGCAAGAATACTGGAGTGGGTTACCATTCCCTTCTCCAGGGCATCTTCCCAACCCAGGGATCTAATCCAGGTCTCCCGCATTGCAGGTGGATTCTTTACCATCTCAGCCACCAGGGAAGCCCATTCTTCTGTTTGGTCTATGGTGAAATGACAGGTTGCTGCTTCAGAAAGCTAGTGCTCAGCCTGAAGTTGCCATCCTCTCTCTGGGTGGGGGCGTTAGTTCCTGCAGAACTCAAAGAAATTGTTGCGTATATTTCATGAGAAGGAACCAGGACTTTGCTCCATGCTGTTCCATTGTTAACTGACTGTTCCGCCCTCATTTCTGTATCCCCTCCCTCCACTGATTAGTAACTATTTGAATCTGCTCTTTGCAACTAAAGGAAGGTCAAGGAAGCTGATTGAAACCTATTTCCTAAAAATAATAAATGAGGACACAGAAAGGATTTGTACCCAGGAGGACTTCACAGGTCTTGCTCCATTTCACAAAGGCCATCTAAGACTCACTGGAAGATTCCTGTCAGGGTAGCAATTCTTTGCCTCCATGCAAGACTACACTTCCAGATTCTGAGACCCAAAAGGAAAGCACAAAGGTGGTGGTATAAACCTGGTATTTGAGTATAATACACAATCAAAAAAAAAAAAAATACACAATCACCCAGGACACATTCACACCCTTCCAAATGTGTAACTCACTGGGAATTTAAACATCATTTGTGATTTGGGGAAATCACTACCCGGAAAGTTGCCATTATGCTGTGTGTGATAGATGTACTTAGATGCTTAATGCAGAATTCATAAATCAGAATCGCTTCCCAGAAAAGTTTTGTTAAACTTGTAATCACGGCTGTGTGTAGGGATTGTTCTTTTCTGAAACAGAGCAAATGCTTTTGCTAATGATTTCTAATGAGTATTATCCCATTACTGTCAAACAAATGCCAGTGATGGAGGGCTTCTTAGCAACTGAACCTATCACAGATAAAGCCAGAGGCTAGTTGTGGTAATGAGAACAGATTTTTGATTAATGATATACAGTTGCATTATAGAAGAGAATCTTGTTTGAACACAACTTCTATTCTTACAGAGGTGACTGGGTGTTAGAAAAGGAGAATGAGGGTGATCTTGGCTGGCTCAGACTACAGCAGCTTGAAGCAGGATTTTGGTTCCTGGCCAGAGACTGAGGTCAGTCTTGGGGTGAGAGCACCAAACCTTAGTCACTACACCAGGGGCCGATGAGAAGGTCCTGGCCCTTTGGCTTTGCAGAAAAAGAATCCCCACAAAGAAAGTAGTGAAACAAAGTGTTTATTAGGAGGAAAAAGAGTCTAGAATGTATGGATAGATACACAGGCAGACTCGAAGAGAGAGCAATGCCCTCATGGTAGTTTAAATCACATGGGGCTTTTCTTCTGGTTATCCTTTGGCCAATTGTTTAGATTTGCCTGATTCGATCCTACTATATATGCATCTGTGTCTCTTAGCCAAGATAGGTTCCTCTGAAGAGGACTGTGGGTAGGTAGACTTAGAATCACTCCTCTTTTGACCTCCAAGGAGCTTTTCTATGTCTGTGTAGTCAGTGGGTGAGGTTCTCTGACTGCAAGAATGAGAAATATGTGCTTTCTTATCCTTAATCTGGGCAGGGCCAAGCCTGCTCTCTCTCCATTAGCCTGCTATTCTTATCTTGGAGTTTCAGTCCACAGGGAACTTATCTCCAATTTCTTTATCCTGTGGGGGTTGGGGCAGAGGTACCTCCTGCCTCAAGGGAGTAGGGAAGGGAAGCAGTGGGGCTTGACAGAGTCAGGGAAGAGAAAAATGACCAAGAGTTGATCATAGAAATGAGGTTAAGCCATCCGTGTCTATTAGCTGGCCATTATTACACTTAGGATCCTGTCCCAGGGATTCCTGAAGACCAGGGGCATGACTAACCTTTGAATGTCCCCATTCATTGCATGAAATATAGGGCACAAGAGGAGAGTCATGCCTTAAGTAGTGGGTGAGTCCCTGGTACTAGCTACCAAGAGAGTGTCCTTGACTTTGCTCAGAAAAGAATTAAAGGGCTAGTCACAATTGAGAAAGGAGGTTTATTTAGAGATATATACATTCCATAGACAGAGTGCAGGTCATTTTGAAAGACAATAAACTGCCCCAAATATGGGGTAGTTAGTTTTATTGGCTCAGCAATTTCACAGGCTAATGAGAGAGGAGTATCCCAACTCCTTTGGGAAGGAATGTATATTTTGAGGAATTGGGCCACTGCCCACTTTTTGAACTTTTATGGTTGGACTTGGAAGTGTCATGGCCCTTGTGCATACTGTCATTTAGAAGTTTTGTTGTCGCTGTTCAGACACTCAGTATGTTCAGCTCTTTCAATACAATAGACTGCAGCACAACAAGCTTCCCTGTCCTTCCCTATCTCCCAGAGTTTGCTCAGACTCATGTCCATTGTCAGTGATGTCACCAATCATCTCATCCTCTGTCATTCCCTTCTCCTCCTACCTTCAATCTTTCCCAGCATCAGGGTCTTTTCCAATAAGTAGCTTCTTCACACAGGTAGCCCAAGTATTGAAGCTTCAGCATCAGTCCTTCCAATGAATATTCAGAGTTGATTTCCTTTAGGATTGACTGGTTTCATCTCTTTGCAGTCCAACGGACTCTCAAGAGTCTTCTCCAGTACCACATTTCAAAAGTATCAATTCTTCAGTGCTCAGCCTTCTTTATGGTCCAACTTTCACATCTACACATGACTACTGGAAAAACCATAGCTTTGACTATATGGACCTTTGTTGCCAATGTGACATTTCTGCTTTTTAATGCGCTGTCTAGATTTGTCATAGCTTTTCTTCCAAGGAATAAGCATCTTTTAATTTCATGGCTGCAGTCACTGTGTGCAGGCATTTTTGAATCCAAGAAAGTAAAGTCTGTCATTGTTTTCATTGTTTCCATGTCTATTTGCCATGAAGTGATGGGACTGAATGTCATAATGTTAATTTTTTAGATGTTGAGTTTTAATACAACATTTTTCACTTTCCTCTTTCACCTTCTTTAAAAGGCTCTTTAGTTCCTCATCACTTTCTGCCATTAGGATGGTGTCATCTGCATTTCTGAGGATACTGATATTTCTGTCAGCAATCTTGATTTCAGCTGTACTTCATCTAGCCCAGCATTTCACATGATATATTCTGCATATGAATTAAATAAACAGGGTGACAATATACCACCTTGACATATTCCTTTCCCAATTTTGAACCAGTCTGTTGTATCATGTCCAGTTCTAACTGTTGCTTCCTGACCTGCATACAGATTTCTCAGGGGGCAAGTAAGGTGGTCTGGTATTCCCATCTCTTGAAGAATTTTCCACAGTTTGTTATGATCCACACAGTCAAAATCTTTGGTGTAGTCAATAAAGCACAGTAGATATTTTCCTGGAATTCTCTTGCTTTTTCAATGATCCAACAGATGTTGGCAATTTGATCTCTGGTTACTCTGCCTTTTCTGAATCCAGCTTGTACATCTGTAAGTTCTCAGTTCACATACTGCTGAAACCTAGCTTGAAGGATTTTGAGCATTACCTTGCTAGCAAGTGAAATGGGTGCAGCTGTGTGGTAATTTGAACATTCTTTCACATTGCCTTTCTTTGGGATTGGAATGAAAACTGACCTATACAAGCCCTATAGCCACTGCTGCATTTTCCACATTCGGATTTGAAGTAGCTCAACTGGAATTCCATCACCTCCACTAGCTTTGTTCGTAGAG